TCCTCTAGCAATCAGAAAGGAAGAGAATTATTGAAAAGAACAGCAAAGAAGTGAACCTAAAATTAAAATGCACTTACACAATTAGCTCTGAGTTGTAGATACTGCTGCCACGAGGAAGAACAGAGCATGACAATAATTGCTGAGGTTTCCATAGAATTTCTAACCCTAAGGCATGTGGAGCTCTTTGCACATGCTGATTTGCATTGTCTGAAAACACTTGGCTGATAAACGGAATTAATCTCTGGAGAGGAGAGAACCAGCCCAACACATTCAAAGGTTAGCTGAAACAGAAGGAGAGTAGGTGGAGAGCAAAGTTCTATCCATAATAGAGTCTATTCAGGCACCAAAATTAGTTTTAAATCCTGTTTTGGACCTCTGGAATGAGTGGAGAGCCTGGCAAAGGACTGGGAGTTGGATCCAATAGGTGCTGCATTAAGGGATGGCTGTGTTTTATCTAAATGCAGTTGTTGAAGTTCACTCCATAATTTAAGTGGGAGGTGTCCACCAGGCCTGGGCTGTGCCAGAGGAGCTGTCAGGCACTCCAGCTGCAGGATTTTGGGGCTGGGGGCTCAGTCTGTGCCAGGAGGAGCTGTCAGGCACTCCAGCTGCAGGATTTTGGGGCTCAGTCTGTGCCAGAGGAGCTGTCAGGCACTCCAGCTGCAGGATTTTGGGGCTCAGTCTGTGCCAGAGGAGCTGTCAGGCACTCCAGCTGCAGGATTTTGGGGCTCAGTCTGTGCCAGAGGAGCTGTCAGGCACTCCAGCTGCAGGATTTTGGGGCTGGGGGCTCAGTCTGTGCCAGAGGAGCTGTCAGGCACTGCAGCTGCAGGATTTTGGGGCTGGGGGCTCTGCTCTGGCCATGCATCCCCAGCTCCAGCTGCAAGGCAGACCCTGCCCCAGCTGGCACAGCTGCCCTCACTGCCCAAAGCACAAATCCCACAGTTAGAGGCAGACAAAGATGAGGGACATCTCAGTCATCTCAAAGCTGCAGGGGCCCTGCAGAGCCTCAGCTTCCCCACCAGACACAAACTGATCCCGAGTCTTCTATGGGGCCAAATAACAAAAAGGGCTTTGCTTCACTGTAATCTCTTTTTCCAACATCCAGGCATATTGAAAGAGATTATCTTTCAAAAATTGAAGGAAGCTGTGCTGTTGTAAAACTCTAATCCCCTCTCTCCTTTGTAGGAAATAAGATAAATATCTTGATTTCACTCAGCACAATTACAAGAAGCTTTTCTCTTATCAGAAGCTCTCTGCTCCCTCCAGGGGGGCGTTTTTGGGGCTGGGACAAGGCTCCAGCAGTCCCTGCTCTTTGGGGAGCAGGGTCTGGGGGAAGGAGGCTCCTCTGACACAGGGTGATAACTTGGCCTTTGTGGAACACCCACATTCCTGCAGCTGAGGTTCCTCTGCTCCTGGAGCCTGCAGCAGATCCCAAATCTCCCCTGGCTCAGCCCAAATGTGTCTGAGGGACCTCAGATGGTCCCAGCTCCCTGTGCCCTGAGAATGGCACTGAAAGGCTGGCACTGATGCCAAGCTGGAAAACCACGGTGTCTGAGGGACCTCAGATGGTCCCAGCTCCCTGTGCCCTGAGAGCCCCAGTCCCAGGGAATGGCGCTGAAAGGCTGGCACTGATGCCAAGTTGGAAAACCACACCAGGGAGGTTGGAACATAAGTTTGGTTGTAAATATTGGCAAAGCTTCATTAAGAAATTAAGAAAGCTCATTCAAGAAATGACAAAACTCTTTTTTTAGTTGTTACTGAGTCTAATCATCCCTCGTATTTTTAGAGAGTTCCTTTCCAGGTTGGCAGCTAATGAAATTTAGGTGAAAATCAAATTACCTCTTGACTATTTAAGAACATTAGCATTTCCAGGCAGCAATCAGATCCCCTCAGCTTGGGCTTGGTCTGGAGCCACTTCTGCTGGCACGGGGAGCTGATCCCTGGCCTGCAACCTCTGCAGTGGAAAACACATCTTGAGCAACCTCTGGCTGCCCTGCCCTGGGCAAGACGAATGAAATATCACTGAAATCACCATTTTTAGATGCTCATCATTTGCTGTGTCTCTCAAGCTTTTGCTCAGGAATTTCCAAAATAAGAATTTAGTGGAATGTGCACCTTGGCAACGGGGGGAAGTTCTTCCCTGATGGTGCCATGAATAAAGGAACTGCTGGAGAAGGGGCAACTCAGACCCCAAAGCTCTGGATGTGCCACCAGCACAAAAACTCCACAGTTGCCTCCAAAATACGTCCAAAAATGCCCAGTGCAAGCCCAGGGTGAAACAGGGAGTCTGGGGACACAGGGGAGGGCAGAGCAAGCCCCAAACACCCACCTGGGGCTCATGAACTTGTCCTGAAGGAGACAGAACCTGTCAGAGCTCTCACTCATCTTGCAGGATCATGAAAATTCCCAGGCAGTCAGAAATTTTAACCCTTTCCCACCCCTGAGTGCGTTGCTCTGCCTTGGGGAGCTCCGTGGTCTCTTGACCTGCCTGAGTGCCCAGGGAAGGATAAAGAACAGGAGATATTTTACCTGTCAGCCCAGATCCTGAGAGACCTGCTGGGTGCTCCAGGAGCAGCTCTGAGGGACAAGCTCTGCATTTCCTGAGCTGAGCCACAGCTGCAGCCCGTGAAATCCCACCCCCACAGGTGGGGTGGGGTCACTGCTGCACCCCCAGCACCACCTGTGCTGTGGGGGAGCCCTGCCTGAGAGCCACCCATCACAAACCATTCAAAAAACCATAAATCACTCAAAAACCAGCACAAACCATTCAAAAAACAGCACAAATCACTCAAAAAACATCACAAACCATTCAAAAAACAGCACAAACCACTCAAAAAAAGCAGCACAAACCATTCAAACACCCACACAAACCATTCTGTGGTTCCAGGATTCTGTGATCACTCATCCTTTTGCTCCACAGCAGCTCTGAGCACTTTCCTACCACCAGGGATTTATTTTTATTCCCCTGGATCCATGGAGCTGTTAAACCTCTAAAAAGTGGAGCCTGAGGTGCTGCACTCCAGTTCCAGAGGCAGCAGGGAGCCCTGGGGCTCACTGCAGTTCCAACCCCCTCAAAGTGCTTATTTCTGCTTTTTCCCACTTTGTTTCTCTTGGATCATTCAAGAGAAAAATCAGGAAGTGTTTTCCTTTGGAGAAATCCTGTTGACATCTGGAGAAGACCTCTCCGTGCTGGAAAATGAGTGGTAAACGAACCTCTCACTTGAGCTTTCCCTGAAGAGAGCAATGCAGTGCTCTGAGCACTTCTGAGAGGAAATGGGAACACAGCAGTGACCTCCCTGCCCCAGGTGTTCCAGAGTTTGTCCTGATCACTGCTCAAACACATTTCACCCAAAGTCATCTTCTTTGCTGTGGCAAAATTTCACGGCTTGTTTTATCCAGGAATTCCAGCAATGCTGACCTGGCTCCCCATCCACTTGTGCTGTACAAGAGTTCAATAATTCATGGAGGCAGGAGTTTGTTGGTTTGTGTTGAATAAATATCTACTCGTGACAGAAGAAATGCAAACAATGTTTCAAGGGGAGCACAGCATTTTTCAGATGATTTAGGCTCTTTTCAGGCTGGTGTTGCACAGAGCCCTGAACACCCAGAAATCCCCATCTATTTACAGTTCATTATTGTGCTAACTTTTGTCACTTGTTCAGCACAAGGCCTGTCCCTCTTGCCACTGCTCTCCCTGCCAGGGGACAAAGAGCAGCTGTAAAATCCCACTGGCACAACCTCCCCATTTGCAGAAACTTTTGGTCCCTTTCCTAAAGGAGATGCAGCAGGCAGCATCCACAGGATCAAGCTGTTCCCTTCAGACCAAACGATGCCAAAATTCACACACAACTTCTGCATTCTCCCAGCTCTTTCCTGGGCACACCTCTGCAGGAACTGCTCACACCTGCTCCCTACAAACCCAGGCTGTCTGAGCACCTCAGGATTGCTTTTGCCCCATTCCTTTCTAATAAATTGCAGGGATAATTCTAATAAATAATTGCTGCGCCTTCCACCAAGACATTGCAAAATGAAAGCAGTCCTGTACAAACTCCTCTTGCTGGTGGCTGCAGGCTCTGGGCAGCCTGGGCTGATGCCTTCAGTTTGAGCTGTGGTATTTCCCAGCTCTGCACTGCCCTGGTACAGAACTCTGCACTCCACACCCAGTGCCAGCAGCTCTCCTCACAGCTCAGGCACACAGAACAATCCTTTTCCAGCCCAGAACCAAGGACACCGCTGCAGCTGCAGCCCAAAAAGTGCCAACCACAGGGGATGGAGGAGAGCAGCCTGGGAGGGTGGGACTGCAGCACCTGGGGCTGGAATGGGACACTGAACCCAGTGTGGGAATGGAGCAGAGCTGATCAAAGAGTGAGAACTCGTGGCCAGGAGTCCCTGTGGGGTGCAGCCACGGCCGGGCTCCTGCACTGTCCAGGGTGTGTCCTGGGAAGGGCTTTCAATAAATCCTGCTTTATTCCTTTAACACTGTAGCCTGGGTGGCCTTCTAGGCAGCCTCGGAAGGCATCAGGGCATGTTACCATGATATTTATGAAAAATCCCCTCGCCAGGATTTCTTCTCCTGGGAAGATGAGAAGCTTCAGAAGAAAAGAAAAGCAATATTATCTGATTGCTTCTCGCTGAGTTTTGCTGCTTTGGAATGTGGCAGAAACATCTTTGATTTGTTCCATGTGAATTGTTTTTACTTAATGACCAGTCCTGTGTCGGACTCTCTGGGCAGTCACAGGTTTTTATTACTCATTCTTGTCTAGCCTTCTGATGTAGCCTTTTCTGTATTTTTTTAGTAATATAATATAAAATAATAGTCACAGGTTTTTATTACTCATTCTTGTCTAGCCTTCTGATGTAGCCTTTTCTCTATTTTTTTAGTAATATAATATAATATAAAATAATCTAATATAATATATCAGCCTTCTAAGAAACATGGAGTCAGAATCATCTCTTCCCCCATCCTGGGACCCTCACAACAACGCCAACAAGGGCAGACTCACCTCAGCACGTGCGTGGAGCCGTTGATGGTGGTGGTGGAGCAGGGCACGGTCTGGCCCAGGATGGAAGGCCTTCGGTAGCGCTCGTCGCCGCAGCAGAGGATGATGAGGAAGGCACGTCTGAAAGCCTTGTTGAGGAAGGCGTAGAGGAAAGGGTTCAAGCCCGAGTTGATGTAGCCCAGCCACAGGAAGGCCGTCCACAGCTTGCCGGGCACCGTGTAGTTAATGAAGGGATCCACGATGTTGGTGACGAAGAAGGGGGCCCAGCAGAGGCAGAAGCAGCCCATGATGATGCACAGGGTCTTGGCAGCTTTGGTCTCGGTTTTCATGCGGTGGCTGCTGTGCTGGTCGGGGGCGTGCTGCCGTGGCTCCTGAGGGCCTGGCCGTGGATCCTGGGGGCCGTGCCATGGATCCTGATGACCCTGCCGTGGCTCCTGGGGGCCAGGCCGTGGCTCCTGGGGGCTGTGCCATGGATCCTGATGACCCTGCCGTGGCTCCTGGGGGCCAGGCCGTGGCTCCTGGGGGTGCTGCCATGGCTCCTTAGGGCCAGGTTGTAGCTCCTGGGGGCCCGGCCACGGTTCCTGAGGGCCCGGCCATGGTTCCTGAGGGCCTTGCCGTGCCGTGGCTCCTGGGGGTGCTGCCATGGCTCCTTAGGGCCAGGTTGTAGCTCCTGGAGGCCCGGCCGCGGTTCCTGAGGGCCATGCCGCGGTTCCTGAGGGCCATGCCGTGGTTCCTGGGAGCCATGCCGTGGTTCCTGAGGGCCCAGCCGTGGCTCTTGAGGGCCCGGCCGTGGTTCCTGGGAGCCATACCGTGGTTCCTGAGGGCCATGCCGCGGTTCCTGGGAGCCATGCCGCGGTTCCTGAGGGCCCTGCCGTGGTTCCTGGGGACCCGGCCGTGGCTCCTGAGGGCCCGGCCGTGGTTCCTGGGGGCCCAGCCGTGGTTCCTGGGAGCCATGTTGTGGCTCCTGAGGGCCCGGCCGTGGCTCCTGGGGGCCCTGGCGGGGCTCGGCCAGGTTCCCCGCGCGCTGCAGCAGGCGGATCTGCCGCGCGTGCGCCCGCGCCGTCACGTAGATGCGGTGGTAGGCCAGCACCATCAGCAGGAAGGGGATGTAGAAGGCCACCACGGAGCAGGTGATGGCGTAGGGCTTGTTCACCATGAAGATGCAGTAGGTGGAGTTGGAGGCCTTGTTGAATTGTCTTTGCTGGATCTGGGGTGCGGAGGGGAGGGTGAGGCAAGGAAGGAGGGAAGAAGTAGGGATCAGAGAACAGGGTTGGTTTGGGAGGTGTCAGCTACACGTTCAGAACCTCAGTGCTGTCAATCAGTTTAGGAAGCTTTGTCTACAGCCTCAGGCCAAATGTCGTTCTTTCTTGACTGTCAGAGTCTATCAGCACAGAAAGTCTAAAATTCTCAGTGTCCAGGACTCCAACATGGAGGGACCTTAAAAATCCTCCTGTGTTACCCCCTGTCATGGGCAGGGACACCTTCCACTAGACCAGGCTGCTCCAAGCTGCATCCAGCCATCCTTGGACACATCCACAACCTCCATGGGCAGCCTGTGCCAGGGCCTCACCACCTCCAGGGAAGGATTTTTTCCTAATATCCCATCTAACCCTGCCCTCTGCAGTGTGCCACTCCCTTGTCCTGGCACTACAAGCTCTTGCTTTTCCTACCAAGAGAATAATCCTGCCTTTTATTTTAGTGAGAGCTGCAAAGGCTGAGGGGACCAAGGACTCCTGAGCTGTTGTCAGGGGCCAACTGGGCTTGGCCTCTTTTCCAAGGACTCCTCACTGAACTGGGAGTGAATGTGGCTGAATTCCCCTCCCAGGCCACCCCTGTCCCTGTGTCAGTCCTTCCAGGACAGAGCCACCTCAACCCCCCTTGAAGACCCCTCCAGAAACTCAGCAGCCCCTCTGCACTGCCAACAAGAAATTTCTCATTCTTTTCCCCTTTCCCTGAAAATGGCTTTTTAGAGACAATCCAGCACACTGGATTGGTGTCCCTGCTTGGCTGCTCACCAGATCAATGATGCCAATGCTGTTCCAGCCCTGCATGATGGGGAGGAAGGAGATGAAGGTCGGGATCACCCAGCAGCCCCCCAGCATCAGCGTGATGCGCAGCGGGGTCATCTTGTTCCTGTACACCAGGGGCTGGCAGCAGATGGCATAGTACCTGCAGGGCAAAAACGGGGTCAGAAGGCAGATTCTTCATGCAGAAAAGCCAGTTCTTTATTCCATAACTCATTTTTCTGTAGTGTTCACAGACTTTGTGTTCAACCCCAGTTGGCTGGCAGTTTTCCTGGTGCTCAGTTCATTGGTTAGAAGGTGTTTTTGTGTGTACCTGTTCAGACTTTTTCTATTCACAAGTGTTTATGTATTCTTTGTGGGCTCTAAAATGATTCTTTATTTCTGAGAAGACCAGATCAGCAAATATCTAATTGCAGACTTTCACTGACAATCAGTCTCAGATTCCCAATAAAATATTTTTTGCTCTTTAGATTTTTGGATTCTGTAAAAAATTTTATAAGGGCAGCAGAACCATGAGTTAGAAGAATTAAATTAGCAAGCACACATGTGTGTATTAAAGAGCTGCTCTTTGAGTTGTGCATTTATTTCATCAAGATTTGAGTGGGACCAAGAGCTTTGTCCTAAACAGGCACAAAAATATAAGAATTTCCATTTTTTCCTAAGGCTTTTTTTTTTTTTAAAGTCATGTGGAGTCAACCAAATTGCTGTATTTTGATAAAATCAGATGATATATTCCACACAGAGGCTTGAAATAATATCAAAGTGTCAAAAGAAAACATTTCTTAAAAGTCTCTTTGAAACAAGATTCAAAATGTCACAGGGGAAAAACGCTGAAACAGGCATTCAACTCCTGCAATTTGATAATTCCTCTGTTCTCCTCTGGTTTCCTGCGTGCATGAAAAATCAGCCTGTTCCTCTGGAAAGCTGCACTTCCAAAAAATGGGATTTGCCAGGAGCTGCTCTTTTAGAGCTGTGGGTGAAATGTTCCTCTGGTGGAGCTCCAGCTCCCCTGGGGCTGATCCCTGTCCATGAAATGACCTTGGAATTCCAGCAGCAATTTTGGGGAGGTTTATTGGGACAGAGGGAGCTTCAGAGCTGCTCCTCTGACTCTCAACACAAAGGATCTGTATTAAAAAATAAATTTAAACTATTTCATTGTTTCTTATCTCAAAGTCACCCACTGGAAGTGCTGGACATCAAAGGCATCAAAGCCAAGGCACGAGAGACTCCATTTCTTTGCAGAAAGGGCAAAAGAAGAAATCCAATAAATGAGAGGATGAAACCAGCCAAGACAGCAGCTAGCCTTTGACAAGTTGGATAAGCAAACAGGAAGAGAAAGCCACTGTACACTGATAATTAAGTGCAGCAGGAAAACAATTCTTGCCAGCAGTCTGAGTGATCACATTTCTCTGCTCCTCTCCCTGCTGCAGCTGAAAGAATTACACTGAATTGTTCCTGCTATTAAAGGCCATTAGAGTAAAAATTATGCCTGTAAAAATGACACCTTCAGCTCTCATATTTCTTCCCTCCCAGTGATTCAGCAGCAATTTTCCTCCACTTTCATGTCAGAAGATTTTATTTTATTTCACTTTCGCTGCTACCAGAACTTCCCCCGTGCTCAGGCAGCCCAGCTGGGCTCCTCCTGTCACTGCTCTGGGTGACAAAGTGCCCTGAGCAGGGTGTGGGTGACAGCTGTGTGGCGGGCAGGGGGGCAGAGGAGCGCAGCAGCCACTCCTCAGGGTTTCCATCCCAGCAATCAGACATCAGACAAGCTGTGGGTGCCACCAGAAGGCCTGGGAGTCACAGCTGGGGCAGGAGCTGCAGGTTTGATGTATGTATTTAAGCAGCTATTTATTCACTGGGAGAAAAGTAATTATATCTGTGAGATTGTCAATAGTTTTAGTCAGAGGCTGGAATAAAGACAGGCTCTGTACTCCTGCTCCATCCCAAGGCAGAGCTGTTTTCCTGGGCTCCCAAGGAATTCTGTCACGTGCTGCTGTGGCAGCCTGATGGATGAACATAAAATGCAATACATACACATGATTAATGCCATGTCCAGGCCCAATTAAATATTAATTCTCTCTATTATCAGACAAGTTCCTCGCAAATGTTCACTTCCCTGTTCCCTACAGCAGAGCAGCTGGTGTGAAACCTCCTCTCCTCTGCAATGACATTCTCCACTGAAGGGGAAACACAGGAATCCCTTCCCAGAGCCGCAGCTCTTCCAACAAAGCAAAGGTTATTATAATGCTTCTCCTTCTCCTTATCAGACATTTGCCACAGGAATGAATCGAGTGCTAACATTTCACAGGTGGCTGAAAAGAAGAAATCCATCATTTCTCTGGCCTTATGGCTCTTTGGCCGCTGCAGAAATCACAGAATCACAGGGAAGGTGTGGAATCCTCTGAACTACAGGAAGGGACTTGGGAAGGGACCTTGAAGATCATTTAATTCCACCCCTGCCATGGCAGGGACACCTTTCACTGTCCCAGTTTGCTCCCAGCCCCATCCAGCTGGCCTTGGGCACTGCCAGGGATGCAGGGGCACCTGTGCCAGGGCCTGCCCACCCTCCCAGGGAGAAATTCCCTCCCAAATCCCATCTATCCCTGCCCTCTGGCAACGGGAAGCCATTCCCTTGTCCTGGCATTCTTTTTCCATCTTCCCGCAGGCACTGGGAGGTCCCAGCTGGGAAGCAGTTCCACAGTTCTGCAGCTCCTGGATCTCCCTGCCAGCAGCACAATGGGCTGTGGGCCTTGGCAGGGAATTTTTGATTTATCCAAACACTCCTCAATCCCCTGGCTGTGCAAAACTGCCCTGGAGTGCTCAGCTCCTGCCTCAGCCCCGCTGAGGCTCTGACCACAGCACTGCTCCTTCCACCCTCCTGGGCACGGCAGAAATGGAATTACTGAGCTGCAGGACACCATTCCCTGCCCCTGGAGAGAAATTCAAGCATCTCCTGGTTTGCAGTGCAGTTTGGAGCCGGGAGCCTGCAGGCACCACCCTGCAAGGAGCTCTTCAGCTCTCACAGACAGACAAATCCACCCCCAGCCTTATTAACAGCCTGCCTCTGGGGGTGGCCCACACTTCAAAGCATTTGGTGTCATGTGCATATGGAAAATGATGTACAGAGCATATGTTGGATCATCCTGGGGCCAGGATGAGCCACAGAACACTCACTGAGCACTCACACTGAGTAATATTTCACCCCCTTTAAATCATCGAGGAAAAAAGAAGCCAAAAGATAGAAAAAGTGGGGGAAAAGAAGACAAAAGGATGGGAAAACTGGAAAAAGCATAAAAAGGATGGGAAAATTGGGAAAAAAAAAGACAAAAAGATGGGAAAACTGGATAAAAGAAGGCAAAAGGATGGGAAAACTGTGGGTGCTGCTGGCTCTCTCCCAAAGTCAGGGTGCAAGTGTCAGTGGGAGGTCACTGCCCTTGTCCTTGTCCCTCGGGGAATCCAGACTGGGACAGAGCCTCCAGCTGAGCCCTGACCAAGTGATGAACCTAAGAAGCCACAATTTCAATTTATTTGCGCCTTTGGGAAATTAATCCAACACTGCTGTTGCTGATATTTCAGTGAAAACAGGTTCTGGCCTCTGTATAACCAGATTTTAACATTTTTTTGGAAAGAACAGCCCTTTCTATTTTCCTTTTTCCCACTGAGCAAATAAGCTTTGGGCTCTCATTGTGCCAAAGAAAACAAAGTTCTGCATCGTTGGTCCAGAAAAAGAAAATGTCCTAAAATGATTATATCTAACAAAATTAAATTCTTATTAGAAAAACAACGGCCTGCTGGTGTTGAGATAATTACACTGAGAAAAATGCTAAAGAGAACAGTTAATTGGAGCTGGATAAATTTAGCAGGCAACACAAACAAATATATGTTGCCAAATGGAGAGAGAGGGGGCTCCTGATGGTGCCCGTGAGGCTGAGGGGTGTGGAGGGATATTGGCAGCAAGGGTGGCAAAATAAATGAAATATTTCTGGAGGGTTTGCAAAGGTGAGCAAAGGGCAGAGCGTGCCTCAGCCCGTGCCGTGGCCATCTGCTCTGGGATTTTCCTCAGTGCTGCCAGAGCTGCGTTCTGCTGTGCCTGGGCTGGGGTCCTGCCTGGCAGGGACAGCCCCACAGCTGTGTCACCTCTCTGAGCCGTGGGGACAGCCCAGCTGTCCCTGCCTGAGCTGTCCACCTGGAGTTTGGGGCATTTAATCAGACTGTAGCCATTAATTACTGCCAGCTAGGCAAAGTTTAATCACTCTCCCCACTAACACCTCCCCATGGCCCTGGGCAGCCGGGGATGTCCCACTGCTGGGCACAGCAGCTCCCTCCAGCCTGGGCAAACACCCTGTGCTCCCAGCCACAGCCTGGGCATCCTCTGGGCACCAGGCAGTGCCCGTGCCCGTCTGTGACCCATGGGAAGGGACCGAGCAGGAATGCTGGGCTGGAGCACTGGGAGCAGGGCAGTGCCCACCCGCGTCCCCCACGCTCCGTGCCCTGGCACAGGGGCAGGGCTGCTGTCACAGGATGTCACCACAGGGCTCGGGAGGCTTTACAGCATCACCTCTCCCACGGGGCTCAGCTAATTTGCTGGCCATTAACGTTAATTAATGTTTGCAAACAGCACGAGGAGCAGCTGCCACTCTCCGGGTGCATCTGCCGTGCTTTAGCCCGGCCTTAGCAGGGATTTTGGGCTGTGCCCGAGTGCAGGATCACTTTGGGATCAAAGGACACGCTCAGGGCTGCTTTGTGGTGTGCAGGTGTCTGAAACACTCCAGCAAACAGAGCAGCCACAGGGACACAGCCCTGGGGGGAGCTGGGACAGCCAGGACGGGGCAGGGGCAGGGAGAGGATGCTCCAGCTGCACAAAGAGGTGCCAGATGTGCATCCAAACCCAAACCCGCAGACATCTGGGACCTGTTTGCTTCTCTGCTGTTTTCCCCAGCCCCCAAAGACTTTGGGAAGTAATTGCATTGCAAATTGGACTGCAAATATTGGAGGAGAAAATTGCCTCTCCTGACAGGTCCGCTGTATTTGGAGACTCCATCAGAGCTTCTGGGTCTGTTTATCTGCAGTGCAATTATTTTTTATTGCACTGGCACAAAGAATGGACATGTATGCATAAAACATGCAATAAATAAATATTTCAAGGCTAAATCTCTCTAATATATTAGAATATCAAAGAGATTATGAAGAAGCTTCAGGCAGTGGCAGCAAACTTTGGATTCAGTGAGCCCTGAGATACCTTTGCTACCTTGGAAAAATCCCTTTTCCAGCTGAGACTGGCAGAGGCTGGCTGCAGTACTTTTCTCCCTGTGTCTGAGCAGTAAAATCAGATTATTATGTGGTGATTTCTCCAGATTTTCTCCAATGCCTTTGAGAATTCAAGCCTCAGAGCTTGTTTCCTTCTTTTCCAGAGGCAGCAGTGGAAACAGCTACAAGACTTTATCAGATAAAAGTCTTTTCAAGCAACACTTTGTGAATATCTTGAAGGGAATGACTTTCAAACTGAGTCTCTAGGATCAGATTAACCACCCAGTTTTCTTAAAAAACCCCTTAAAACTCACACCTGCATGCCCTGAAATAAAACAGAAGGCAGGAAATAGATCACAGAAAAACTACCAGCTAGAAGCAGCACACTCCCATAAATTCTGAATGAACACAAGAGCAAACAGCTGGAAAAATTGAATTAAGTCCTGGGAAGGAAGCAGTGCTGCCCTTGCAGCCCAGGGAGGATCGATGCTGGGCTGAGTCATCCCTCCCTCCACAAAAACCTCTCATTCATCCTCCTGCTCTGCCCTTTTGGGGTCATCCACCACCTTCTCCTCATCTGTTCTGGCCCCTTCACACTGCTCTCAATCAGTCCTCGCTGTGGAAAAAAACCAAGCCCAAACCAACTAAAAAATGTCAGAGAAATTCAAGTTAATGCCAAGGGCTCAGGTGGAGGGGTGTCCCTGAAGCATCACCTCCAAGCCCAGGCTGTCCCAGGACGCTGGGGACAGATGGGGCAGGAGCTCTGCACATGGGGGTCTCCAGGAGGGCAGGGAAAGGGGAACCTCCTTTCTGTGCCCTCACTCAGGAGGTTCCTCATCCCCTGCTGCAGATCTGGGGCTGAAATCCCATTTTCCCTTCTCTCCACAACCCTCTCTATTTAATTAAGAGCCTGGAGAATCAAACTCCAGCATTTCAGAGAGCAAGGTCGTGTCCAGAGCACGGTGCCCAACATCTGCTTTCCTGGTAATTGGCTCAGAGCGGCAATTTGTCAATTTGAAGATAACGAGCTTCCCATTTGTGTTCCAGCCATCTAAACTTGCAGATAAGGACAGGAGCTGTGGCTGTTGGATGTCAGCTTCTCTCTGGATACAAAACTGCCTGTGCTGCTGCCCTGCCTCCCTCCCCACAGCACTGCTGCCCATCAATACAGAAGTTAAGCAACTTTTTTTTTGAAGTCTGGCTGCGCTCAGACTCTCAAGGTACTGAAATGCCACATATTTAAATATCAGCTGTCACAATAACAAGAATAATTATGGTTATTTTGGCCCTGTTAGCAATACTAAGTAACAGGGTTTTTACAGGATTGAAATCTCCACACAGAACTCAAAAAAACACCAAAAAAACCCCTCTGAAATATTATCAGAATAGCCAAAATGTTTTCTACTGAATGTTTATCTTGTGAAAAACTCATATGGAAGTTCTGCCATTTACCCAAAAATCTGCAGACAGCAGTCAAACAGAATTGCTCACCATAAATTATTGAGACTTTGGGCTTTACTTTTAGGTGGCAAGAAAAGTTTGAAAGAAAGGAAAGTTTCTAGGATCTCCCAGGATATTTAGGCTGGAGAAGACCTGTGCCCAATGCCCAACCTGTCACATCCAGCTGACACCTCCAGGGATGGGGATCCAAACTTCCCTGGGCAGCTCCAAGGCCTGAGCACTCTTTCCATGGGGAAATTCCTGCTGTGCCCACCCTGAGCCTGCCCTGGTGCAGTTTGAGGCTGTTCCCCTCATCCCAGGAGCAGAGGAACCTCTGTGCTGGAACAACCCCTGTTCACAATGCCCCAGCTCAGCTCCCACCTCTGCACACATTCGAGGTGTCTTTACCCCAAAGGAGGAACAGGACCACACCTGGCCAGTGCTGCCAACAGAGCTGTGCACACAACAGCCCAGGCCCTCCCCAAAAATCTCATCCCATTCCGAATTTCTCTGCCCTCATCAGGATTCTCTCCGAAATCATCCCCTGGGAGGATTTATTGCTCTGCCATTCCCAGCAGGTCCATCTCTGCCCTCTGGCAGCTCAGGGCAGCCCAGAGCTCAGCAGAGCCGTCCAGCAGTGCCCTGTGCAGCTCGTACCTGTCCAGGGAGATGCAGCAGAGGTGCAGGATGGACGCCGTGGTCAGCAGCACGTCCAGGGAGGTGCGCACCAGGCAGAACATCTCTCCGTAGATCCAGTTGTCCTGAACCAGCTCCATGGCTCCAAAGGGCATCACCAGCACCGACACCAGCAGGTCAGCAAAGGCCAGGGAAACGATGAAATAGTTGGTCTTGATTTTCCTGCAAGGCAGATCACAAAATCAGGGTGGGTTCAGTGCAGCAGCCTCCCCACATGGACAGAGATTCCAGCTTGAATTTGGGTTTCATCTGCTCTGTTGCACTAAAAGCTCCTCTCTAACACACTCCTCACTTTATATGGTCACCCCTGGCTTGCTCCTGGTTTTTAAAGCTAAATATCCACCATTTTCCTGGCCAAAATAGATCTTTCTGCTCACCCAGAGGAGGCAAATGGATGCTAACAGGCCTCTGCAGGTGGCTCAGCCTCACAGCTTGCACTGGAGACTCTGGGGTGGGAGAAGGGGATTTTATTTTAACTTGTAAATGGAGAAAATCCTTCCAGAAAGCACTGAGAATAATCTAGACTGAAGCTGTAATTTTAACTTGAAGAGTACTTTTTAAATCACAACAATAAAATAGAATTAAATCCATTAAAAATCCCACGCAGCACATGAATAGAGGCTGTTAAATCTCTCTCTCTGCTCCTGAGGCTGGGCTGACAATTCCCAGGGTTAGCAGCAGCCTTGAGACAGGAATTGTGCCTGTGACCCCCTCAAATCATGGACAGCATTTGCTAAGTTGTGCTGGTGCTGCACAACCACAACCAGACCTTGGTCTGTGCGCTGCTGATGAGCTCATGGGGAAATCTGAGAAGGAAAAGGGCCAGAGGCCAACCTGGGAATTGCTGCTTAGCTGTGCTTTTCCCTGATTTGTCTGGTTTTCTACACCGAGAATGCTAAAAAGATGAGGATGGGAATTTAAACGGTGCCAGTGCTGCGGGATGAGCCGAGGGCAGGGAGGGTCTGCAAGGCAGGGGCACCTCCCTGGGGGCAGCTCCTGCCCTCAGCTCGTCAGGAGGGGCTGTGTCCCCTGGGTGGGCTCTCCTGAGCTGCCTGTCCAGGCACAGGGCCACCATGACCAGCAGGTTGCCCAGTTTGGTTGGCCACCATGGCCAGCAGGTTGCCCAGTTTGGTTGGCCACCATGACCAGCAGGTTGCCCAGTCTGGTTGGCCACCACGACCAGCAGGTTGCCCAGTTCGGTTGGCCACCATGACCAGTAGGTTGCTCAGTTTAGTTGGCCACCACAACCAGCAGGTTGCCCAGTTTAGTTGGCCACCACAACCAGCAGTTTGCCCAGTCTGGTTGGCCACCACGACCAGCAGGTTGCCCAGTTTGCGACCAGCAGGTTGCCCAGTCTGGTTGGCCACCATGGCCAGCAGGTTGCCCAGTTTGGTTGGCCACCATGACCAGCAGGTTGCCATCTCAACACCACAATGTTTGTGCATCTGGGACTCAACCCATGGCAGATCCCGTTGTTCCATCAGCCGAACAGCCGGTTTGATTGCTCCTGAGCAGCTTTTACAGGCCATTCAAAAGCTCCCAGTGCTACACAGCCATTGCTCTGGTCCCTACAGCCCCAGGCTCTGAGCCAGCCACATGCTCATATTTCAGGAGAGTTGTCACAGGTTGGAACTTCTGCCAGTCAGCCCTGACTGGTTTATGGAGCCAGCTGGATTTTTATTTATCACTGGATTAATGCTAAGCACAGATCAGCTTGTCCTGCAGAATGAGGAGGGGCTGTGTCCCAGGGGGGCTCACCTGAGCTGCCTGTCCCGGCACACGGCCACCATGACCAGCAGGTTGCCCAGGATGGCCATCAGGATGACGGCGGAGATGAAGGAGAGCAGCACGATCTTCTCCGCGATGCCGAAGCCCTCACTCGAACTGGGGGGAATCAGAGACAAAAGTGGGAGAAACAAGATTCACTCCTTAAAATTTTTCAAAATTACAGTACACTTGGGGTGCTCGGCAAACTGCCCAGAGCACACCACTGAGTTAAAACAACTTTCCTTATATATTTTTTCATTGCACTGATCAGATGCATATTTATGAAGGTTATACATATTCAAATATTCCTTTGAGTTCTTTCACGTGTTCTGGGAATTCTTTAGTTTTGTTTGACTCCTGACCCCTCATGCAATAACGCAGATTTGTGTTTTGGGAGTTGTGTATGTCATTTCCTCACCATTTATATGTTATTTCCTCACAACGTCTGTGCCATTTCTTCACAACTACAAATGGGGGATTATTCATAGTGGCAAACTCAGTAGTAGAAGTCTTTTTCACAGCCTTTCTTTTAATGTTATCTGTGTGGTTCTTTCAGTATTGTCTAATCATACAGACAGTTTTAGCTATTTCTACAAACTTATTTAAGTTATTCTCACTATTGTCAGTTAGTTACAAAAATAAAAGTATCCTGCAAAAGCAAACACTACACAGTCTCTATTTAAATATTTTGTGAAAGCCTAAACTACAATATATTTTTATCACACTAATTCATATATAAGCCACATATGGCCAGGACATTTTTTTTCCTTTTTTTTTTTCCCCAAAAGTTTTAGTATCATAAAATCACAGAATGGTTTGGGTTGGAAGGGACTTTAAAACTCATTCCACACCTTCTGCTATCCCAGGAGGCCCCAAGCCCTGTGCAGGGACGCTGCAGGGATGGGGCAGCCACAGCTGCTCTGGGAATTCCACCCCAGCCCTTCCCCACCCTCACAGGGGAGGATTTTTTCTTACCTGTAACCTCAATTTCCCCTTTTCCATTCTGAACCCATCACTCTTTGTCACTACAGTTCCTGATGTGATGTGACAAGGACTAATGGGTTCAAACTTTCCTCAAGACAAGCCTTTTACATCTTCAGTTTCAAAATCTACATAATGTTTTGCCTTTTTCTCTCTTCATTCCGTGCTACAAAACACAAAACTGTCTGGCTTTTTACTTAGTAATTTTTCCAGAGTTAGGGAAAGGAAATTTTTTTTTTCCAAGTGCCTAATTTTCCCCTACTCTGAGATAATAATTTCTTTCAGTTAACGAAGAGCAAGAAAAGAAAAAGGAAGAATAACATAAAATCCCCCCCACAATGTCAGCCATATTTTAAATCTTCATTTCTACAAATAATTTGCTGTATCAAAGAAAGTGTTTGGTTTTTCTTTTTCTTTTTTTTTTGTTTTCAGAGCTTGCAAAGCAGAAGGTAACACCCAGCATGCAATAAATTCCTCATAAACCTGATTTATTACAAAATTTTGAGTTATTTTTCCCTAAAGCTATTTCTAACGATATATCCTGAATAAACTGCATCCTAAACCTGCTTGTGTGACTTCACATCACACAGGTGAGAACGGGGTTTTTCCTGTTATCAAGTGTGGCTGGACTAAACTGGCATTAAAAGCAACACTTGACACTAATTCAGCAGGGAAATTCCTTCTCAGCCTACAGAGCCAGTGTTGGACACCCAGGATTAAAGCTGTGAGGCTGCTCAGGTAATTGAAAAATGGAACTGTTATTCTGTGTTACCTTCACTGACCCTGGGGCCACCTTTTATGCACTAAACCACATCCCAGGCTTTTTGCACTTTATCTCACTGAGCTCTCCCGATCTGGAGAAAAGCTAAAAGGGATTAGAAACTCCTGGCACACAGAGATGTTGAGTTTTACTCACCCAAACAAGCTCTGGAAACACCAGAGGAGTGCAGAAATGAGCCAGACATCTCTCCAGACATTGCCTGGGGGGGTTCCACCTTTGAGAGTTTTAAATCCACATTTCCCACCCTGTCCTGAGGGTGGTGGCATCCCTGGGCAGAAGTGGCCACCACCAGGCTCCGAGCAGAGCCCAGCAGGGCAGGAACTCCCCCTGGCACATTTGGGAGAGGAACTTTGGCTCTGAAATCACTTTTGGGAGTGTTTCCCTCGTGCCATTTCCCACTGCTCCCCTGGGGAACATCCAACGGGCAGATGCCTCGCTGGGCTGCAGGAGGATTTCATCGGGGCTCTTGCTGCCTTTGGAATAATCCATCATCAGGAATACATGTTAATTATTCAGTCTTAGTAATTCCAAGTTGTTAATAATGGAAGAAGTGGATATTGCTGTAAATTGAAATCAATGGTTTGCATAACATCTTTTATCAAATCGGAGTGCTCTGGCTCCCAAGCTTGCTTCCCTCTTTAATAAAGCAGAGATTGATGGGTTTGCTATTATGAGGAAATGAGATTCAGGCAAAATGATTGCTGGTTAGCAGGAATACAGAAATCACTTAAGGAAAAAGGTGAAATACTGATGGGGAATGAATGCTTAAAACCCACATATGGACATATTTAAAAAGCTCTTCTGCACAGTCATTAATGTGAAAGTGAAAAGAAGGGTAATTACTCTTTCAAGCTCAATTTTCACTTTCCTGTAAACACCCCAACTTTTCTAAACGAGCTCAAGTGCTTTTGCATATTTTCTGCAGCAGTTAAAGAGCACAGATCAGTCATGGGGGCAGAGCAGGCTCCTTCCCTGGATCCCACTGCACACAGAGGGGAAACCCCTGAGATCCAAACTCACACCGTGGGAGCCTCGAAAAGAGTTCTCTTGATTTCACATTCCCTCGGGTGTGGGGAATAAAGGCTTGGCTTGAACGTTTCCAGCCAGGGCTTTTCCCTCTGTAGTATTTCATAACCACAAATAAGCTGTCATTGGCCTCTCCTCTTTCCTGCTTCCCTGATTATTCCTAGGCATAAAAAAATCATTAGGTCTTAAGCACCTAAAAATCAAGATAAGCTCTTTATGAGTAAACCTGATAATGCGGCTCAGTACAGAAACACGACAATAGGGAAGTGGTGATTTGATCTCTGCCTTTCCAGCTGTTACCACATCCTTTTCTAAAATATTAACCACAAGTCAGCATCAATCCAGAAGCATTTAATTTCCTTTAATGCCTTTAAATGCTGCACTGCTTCGCTTGAGCCCGTGCAGATGGCAGGACAGCTCCCAGCAGGTCCCAGTCCATTCTGTCCTTCACTTCTGTTTTAGAAACAGACTGAAATTAATTAAAGTATTGACAAGCCAGGAATTAACAGCACTCCACGTATCAAAATAACCCGGTCATATGATTCGCTTATTTGTGTGGTTTTTTGGAAAAAAAAAAAAAAAATCAAATAAATTGTGGCAGTGGGGTGGGAAGGAAGGGTGAGGTTTTCTCCTTTTGTGCTGGTTTGAAACAAAACTCCTGATACCATCAGCAGCCCTGCACCGCGACTCTCCCGGAGGCTGAAAGCTGCAGTGCTCCAGAGAATGAAGTGTTTTAAGCAGCTGATAACGCTGATTAAAACCAGTTGTCTGTCAAGATGAAGCACAGAAGACAGGCTGGTTGGATGCTGCAGCAATTGCCGTGTGTGGGCTGGCGCAGTCCGTGCCGGAGCATCCCCACTTTGGGGACAGGGACCTGCTGGGGCTGCCACACATGGGGGGACCTCCAGCCCTGTCCCAGCTCAGCCTCCGGGCCTGAATCTGGAATCTCCTGAGCTGGACGGGACCCCCAGGATCATCCAGCCCAGCACACCCCGAAATCCCAGCCAGGCATCCCTGGAGCAGCGTCCCGTTCCCCGGGGAGCCTGGGCAGTGCCCAGCACCCTCTGGGGAAGAACCTTTCCCAAAATCCAGCCTGACCCTGCCTGGCACAGCCCTGCCCTCCCCTGGGAGCTGTCCCTGTCGCAGGGCAGAGTCTGGAGCTGCAGAATTTCGGGTGCTGCCCTGGATCTGGCTGCACATCTCCTTTCAGTGTTGTGGCTGTGGCACCAGGTGCTCTGCCTGGAGAAGGGCTCAGGGATCTGCTGCTGGATTTTCATCGGATCTCAGAACCACAGAAAGGTTTGGCTTGGAAGGGATCTCAAAGAGCATCCAGCTTCACTCCCCCAGCCACGGGCAGGGCCACCTTTCACTAGAATGAGTCAAAAATTTCCTCCTAACACCTAATCTAAATCCTCCTTTTATTTTAGTTTAAAACAGTGCCCCCTTTTCCCATCTCAGTCTCTATCTCCCATCCCCTCAGCTGCTCCTCCATGGCCCCTCCATGCCCTTCCCATCCCCGTGTCCCTCTTGGGAGGCTCTCCCAAGCTTTAGAGATGTTTTTCCCTCTGTGGTGCCCAACCTGCCCCCAGGACTGGAGGTGAGGCTCTCACAGGGCACAGGGAGCTCCCAGTGCCCAGCCCAGCCACCCCTGAGCTCTGCTCCCTGCATCTCCCCAGCTGGCAGCAGCACAATTCTGCCTTTGCCCGTGGAAATTGGATCTGGGCTGAGCACTCCTCCAGGACAACGAGCTGATTTATCCTGGCCTGAGCCAACAGGCAGGAGTGTGCCCTTGGGGAATGAGGGAGGAGATACAGCCAGGCCTGGGGGGCTCTGCCTGAGCCCTGGGGCTCCCCTTGCAGGGCACGAGGGGCCAGCAGAGCCCCCTGTGTGCCCCTCCTGCGGGGCAGCAGCGAGCCCTGGCTCTGCTCCGTGCCAGGCAGCAGATCCACATTACATAACTCACACCCACGAGTGAGCAGATACTGCTGCAGGGCTGATGCGTGTGAGCACAGCCCTCAAACCCCATTAGACTGTCACCTGGAATGTAAGCTAAAATTAACTCATGAAATCAGCATGAGATTAAGATCACAGTATTTACACGGAGCAGAGGCAGCTGCTGCAAGCACTTTGTTTGGCATCCTCTAACAACTTCCAGAGGAGAGCCCTTGTGCCACCAAATCCCACCCTGGCACATCCACCTGGGCTCTGCAGCACCCTGGATTCATCTTGTTTCCTTATCATATATTTATATATATCTGCAGACTTTTCCAGCTGTCCCCTTGGGGTGCTGGACACTCCCCTCGTGTTCTCACACCAACACAACTCTTTG